GGATTGTTTCTAGGAGTTAATAGATCATCCTGGGATTCCCAGCTCAAAGTTCCAGTCACCGTTCTTCAAATCCTATCACATACAAATCGATTGTGTTATCTTCCTGCCCATATAGGAGTGTAGATTTTAATTAAAAGGATAATCAATTCCTCTTGCTATGAAATGTGGTCACTACTTTACTACCTTTCTCTAATCTCTACTGAACACTCTTAGTAGTTTTCTTTTCTTCCCTAACTGTTTATAGGTAATGGTCAGGTGCCATTTCTTTTTGGAGTCACTGCCTTTGAGAAAGTTGCTGGCCATGTGATTCATTTGATATTCAGAAGAACCGGGAGGCACCTCTTCTTAAGGGATGATGATGAAGGGAAGCCCCCATTGCTTAGACGCATGGTAGAAGATGATGGTGAATTGCAATTCATGTATGATATTTCAGCAAACATATTTTTAACATAAATTTGTTGGCTTCGTAGCACACGAAACAAGAAACTTGAAATACGAAAATGGTATTTTTGTAAATTATTGGATAACGAATGTAGGGGAAACACGTATGTATGAAAAGATAAGGATATATTTGTAAATAGCATTTCAAACTTATGTATACATATTCTTTCATATACATATGTATACTTATTTTTTAACACAACTTTGCTTAATATTTTTTGATCGAAACAGTCTATATGATCAACTATAGAATTTATTACATATTAATACATAACTAAATGTAACATTTAATGAATTACTGGCAGTACATTGCGCTTTGAAATATCAGTGGTAAAATTCTTTTTGAAATCCACTAAAACACGTTCATAGACAATAATTTCGTTACAATATCCCATCATAAATAAAAAATTGAAAACCCAAAGTTTCTCTAACCCTAATTAATTAGGGAAACAATTTTTCCCTGAATCTTCTCAATCATGGAAACAGCTCAGAAACGGGAATTTGAAGTTCACAAGTTTCTGATATGCTTCTGAGTTTCCAAAACGATAAAATGTGAGCCCGTGGGGTAGTATATGTACATCTTAAATCATTGGACTGCCCACGTTTGAAATGACACTTATGTTATTTTACAATTGATGTTCGCAGGTCTGCTTTGCGTTCATTCGAGCGCCGGGTTTCTTATTCAAATGTTGCGAATGATCGTATCCTAATAGTTTTGCTTAATATAAATTAATATTCCATTTACTGTTCTTTTTATGTTGTACCCATCAGTATTCCTTAATAATTGCTTGTTTAGATATTGTTGGCTGGAGAACATCATGCATAAGACGAAATAGTGAACTGCCCAAGGTATGTTTTTTACACTATTTTACCTCCCCAACTTTTGATTCTTTTTGGGGTTTCATAATATTCTTTCAATTGTAGTGGGAAGAACCCTTGAATGAGAAGTATCCACATGTTGTGTATGAAGAACGGTGCAAAGCAAGTGATGGTGAGCAGGGTGATTCCATTGTAAGGGAAGATGATAGTCAAGACAAGCTGGAAGGTTTGAATCTTACTTCTTCATGTTTGAAAGAAATGTGGCCTGCTTTACTTCTATTCCGTATCCTCTCGTTTACACTTTTTTTTTTCTGTTTGCATAAAAATAGTCCTTTCGGACATTCTTTTATCCCTAAAAAGAGTCATTTATATCAAACAAAGCTTATTGTTAGATAATGTACCAAAAAAGAGCCACAAACAAGTACTAGTTAAACCAACAAATTAATCTAAACTAACTAGGATTAATGATTTATAGCAATTGTACCACTAAACAAAAGGCTGGTACCTTCATCAACTAGAACTCGCTTCTTAATTTCCGGGAAAGGGATGTTAGAGAAGTTCAAAAAGTATCAACCGGATTCTAATCTAGCTTGTTTATTGTGCTTGGTTTGTCCCTCCCTTGCATGCTTGTTATACTTCTAATGGGTTCTCTGAGGTTCTAATCTTATCTTTGGGATTAATGATGCAGAGGAATTGGTGACTTTCTTATCTCGTGTGTCATGGGAGAAAGTAGATGTCAGCTTCCATAACAGCAAAATTAAATATGCAGCTCATAGTATTATCCAGGCCTGTCCTTGAATTTGTTTCTTTAACAAAATGGAATTGAAAGTAAAAACCAGGAAGTTAACAACTTCCAGCTTGTCTAATTTGCAGGTAAAAGCCGAGAGTGTGCATTCAGAAGGTGCAGACATTATACAACATATGATTGATCACTTTGTTCTCTAAAAGTCTCAATTCTGAAATGGAGGCCGTTCCCAGGTGCTCCCTACGCCTTTCTGCCAGTCTCAGAACTTTTTATTAATAGCATGCGCTTTGAAGGTTTATTACCATTTGCCTGATATGTCATATGCTGATCAGGTATGTGCATCATCAAACATGGGTGTCCTTTGGGTGCAAGCAAGGATCAAGATGCAATATCTGACTATCTGTACATCTGTCCGTAAGCTACAAATTAATGAAGCAGCTTATGAGAGATCTAATGTATTGCTTATCAGCTTATGTGCTGCAGTGTACAGAACACTTCAGTCTAACTATTAATCAGTTATGTACCAGATGTTACCACGTGAGTTGGTTTTTACAGAGGCCTTGCATATATAATTACTTCTATGCAGGGATGGATTTAAGGGGGGCGCGGGGGCGAGTGCCCCTCTTGGACTTTCAAATTTTTCTACTATATATATCGTATTTTCATAAAATTTTCATACTTTAATTAGATATATTTCGCCCACCTTGACTTTTAGTTTTCAAAGTTAATATATAGTCATACATAGTGTAACACTTAATTGGAAATTTAGAAGTAAAATCTAAAATAATTTAGATAGTTTAAGACTTAGGGTACCCATTATATAAAAATTCCTAGGTTTTGTAATATTTGATTATCTTTATAGATAATTAGTTTTAAATTTTGTAAAAGAACAAACGATATTAAATAGTAAATACCAGACACACCGGTTAAATAGTTTTAGATCATGTGAAGTGAATCCAAAATATAAATGTTTGTTGACGTTAAATTATACAATTCATTTACTTCTTACTTTCTAAAAGCAATTTATTGCATAAATAATAAATTTTAACGTATTTTAGCATTAATACAAATATAATATGTACCATATATATGAATTAACAATACTACATATAATATTATTCTAAAGATAATAATCTCATACATACTATTGTAATATTAAAAAAACTTCTCGTGACCCATGAACACTCTCCTTGGTAGAAAAAAACTACAATTCAAAAAGCATTTCTTTATTTTGATAAGATTTATGTGGTTAAACAAGACATAAGTTATTTAAAAGGCATCGATTGATGTTAAATTACCTTTTAAATATTTTACATTCAAATAATTCAACAAAATGTTATATATACTTTTCTATTTTTTGTATAAAAATTAGCCGCGGAGCCGTACAATAGTGAAAAAAATTCGTCTCGCTATACTAGCGAAAAAATTTGCCCCGCCACATTAGCGAAAAAAATTCTCCCCGCTACACTAGCATTTTTTTTTTGCCCCCCTACACTACGCCCCCCCCCCCCCCTTGACTTGAAATAGTGGATCCATCTATGCTTCTATGGCTTATGGCTTTTAAGCATGCAAAAAGTGGTTTATATTAGAAAACAATGGGTAGTTCCAGTTTCTGAGAACCTTTGTATTATGGAGATAAGAAGTCAAAATTTTTAAAAGGCCACTATATCGTCCCTAAGCTAGTAGTCATAGTCCTAAACAAAAGATAGTTGTTCATGAATAGCTGATACTATTGGCTGAATGATTTTGCCAAACACTGCTTATTGCAGATTGAGTCAGAACATTTGAAAAGCCCTTGCGAAGCATACTGTTAATGTGTTAAGTGGGTCAGTGAAACTCAGTTGTGGGACAATGCTTGTAAATTTGTAATCGAATGTCCTTTGTTGTCTGTTGAGCATGTGCTCTTCAATTTATGTAGGTACAGAAATCCAGTAACTCTAGATGGGATTTTGGATGTTTATAATTGGACTAATTTCAGTCCCAGATCATATTAAGCTAAACTCCGACAATCTATAAAATACATCTTCTTGACGAGTTTATGTCGGACCCGACTTCAATAGATCAGAGTCAATCAGACCAGTTTAGCAAATTATTGTCCAATAAAAAAATATCTTTAGCCCACATGATTGATTTCGTATGTTTATATTAGTCACTATGTTCATGAGTTCATCTCTAACTAAGTCGTGGGTATTTTAGAAGCTGTTCTCTTCGCCTGATCTGAATGTTTCTGATCTGAATTTTTTAAGTTCTGATCTGATCTGATCTGAATTTTTCTGATCTGATCTGATCTGATCTGAATCTTTCTGATCTGATCTGATCTGATCTGAATCTTTCTGATCTGATCTGATCTGATCTGAATCTTTCTGATCTGATCTGAATGTTTCTGATCTGGTCTGGTCTGATCTGAATGTTTCTGATCTGATCTGAATCCTTCTGATCTGATCTGAATCTTTCTGATCTGATCTGATTTGAATATTTCTATTATAATTATAATTATAATTATAATTATATAATTATAATTATAATAATTATAATTATAATTATAATTATAATTATAATTATAATTATAATTATAATTATAATTATAATTATAATTATAATTATTATAATTGCAATTACAAATATAATTTAAATAAAATTATAATCATAATCGTAACTATAATAATAATAATAATAATTAAAATTAAATTTAAAATGAAAAAATTTATACCTATTACACTAATTATAAATATATATATATATAATTATAATTGTAATTATATTTTTAATTATAATTACTTATATAATTATAATTGTAATTATAGTTACAATATTTATCTCTATAATTGTAACTATAGTTATCAATATTATTATAATTACTCCGTAAAATAATTACAATAGTAATAATAATAATAATATTAATAATTATAATAAAAATAATTATTATAATCATAAAATATAATTATAATATAATAATAAGTATAATTATAATTATTATAATTATAATTAATAATAATTATAATTATATTAACATTAATTATAATATTATAATATAATAATAGTAATATAAATGCAATTAATATTATTATAACGATATTATTATATTAATATTATTATTACAATAATATAATAATAATATGATTATTATTATTATAATTAGTATTATATTATTATAATATTATATTATAATTATAATTGTAATCATAATTATAATTATGATTGTAATTGTAATTATAATTATTATAATTATAACTAATTACAATTATAATTATAATTAATTACAGATATAATTATAATAATTACAATTGATTATACTTATAATTATAAGAATTTTAATTGTAATTATAATTATAATTACATATAATTATAATATAATATTATAATAATATTAATCATATTATTATTATATTGTAATAATAATAATAATAGTCTTCTTAATAATTGCATTTATTTTACTATTATTATATTAAAATATTATGACTATTATTAATATCTTATTTTTTTATCAAATTATTATTAATATTATTAATAATAATTATATAATAATAATAATCATAATAGTAATAACAATATTAACAATAATAATTAATATAATAATAAAAGTGATAAATCATGTTTGAACTTTTCTGATCTGATCTGATCTGAATGTTTCTGATCTGATCTGAATGTTTCTGATCTGATCTGATCTGATCTGAATCTTTCTGATCTGATCTGAATCTTTCTGATCTGATCTGATCTGATCTGAATCTTTCTGATCTGATCTGATCTGATCTGAATTTTTCTGATCTGATCTGATCTGATCTGAATTTTTCTGATCTGATCTGATCTGATCTGAATAAAATAAGAATAAGTAATAAGTAATAAGAATAAGACGAACAGAACAGCACCTTAATCAACCTTTGAAGTCTCATCATATTTATTTCAGACCATTGACTATTTTGAATGGAACGCGTTTTCAACTCGTCTACCCGGGGACCATTGCACAAATTAGATCAGTAATTAAAGTGTTCCTGGAATTCATTGATATTTGCGCAACTCATTTTTAGGTGGATATTGATACTTCAATTCTCAATATCTATATTGATACTGATTTTTTGGAACCCTTCCCTGGACTCCCTGTTAGCCGGGACGCCAATGTAACTGGGCTTGTTTGGATTTTTTTTTTTTAATTTTACCATTGATGTTTTCTAAAATGCCCAGTCCGGTTCCGGTTCGGGCCTGGGCTCGGCCGGGTTTGGTTTTTTTTGGGTAAGGCCCGGGACTGGCCCGGTAGTCTACCGGTTCCGGGCCGGGCCAGTTCAGTATATTGTTTTTTTTGGACTTTATTATTTATTCCACCCTCATCCCCCAAATCCCTCGAAAACAACCAGCCCACCTAAACCTAGCCCGAACCCAAAAAAATAAAAAATGAAAAGCCCTAACCGAGCCGGCCCCATTTTCGAGTCCCGGACCCGCCCCCGGAATAGTCATCGGGTTGGGCCTAAGCCCGGTACCGGTCACCCAGGCCGGGTCAGTTCCCGGGCCGGTTGGGAAACATACATGTGTATATTATATACTCATTTTTTATGGGTAACAACATTTTGGAGATCAATTTCATGAGGTGGATAATCTTTTTTGTGATTATGATTGAGAAAGTGAGACTATTCAGAAAAATAATGTGGCATCAAATTTCAAATCTAATTTTTTGTAGATTATTCTAACCTCTTTAATTGTACATGTAGAGCCCGTTTGGTTGCACGAAAATCGGCTGTTTTGGCTGATTCTGCTGAAATTTATAAAGTTCTGGCTGCATTGGCTGATTTTGCTGATTTAAGAAAAAATTATTTTAAAAATATATTGTATTAATAAAATAAAGAAAAAATCATAGGTAAAATAGCTAAAATGGTCATCTACAGTAACTTCAGCCAATACAGCTAAGAAAGTAACTCTAACCTTACTTTTTCTGCTCATTACACAATTCAGCGCGCGAATCCAAAAGTTACGTGTTTGATGAAAAAATTGACTGATAAGCCAAAAATCAGTGTTGTGAAACGGCCTCCTTTTATTCTACCGAGTTTCGAAATTTGTGATACGTAACTCCATGTGCGTTATTCCTTGGTGGGCAACAATCAGTACATGTATTAATCGATATACATGAAACCATACAAACTTTTTTTAATGACCAGAAGAAGTTGCCGAGCCAGGTCTACGTGTCCATAAGGAAATTTAAGAGCGAGCTTAGGCAAATTTATTAATATAATCATTTAATGTATCCAACCCCATAGGGGTATTACGGTAACACAATTTTTAATTAATTATTACTCTCTCCGTCCCAATTTGTAAGATACATTTCGGTTTACGATGTTTGACTGACGATAAAGCAAATTGATCCCTGTCAACACCCAAATTAGTTCTAGAAAATAAAATTTACATATTCAAAAACTACATTAAATCCGCTACAAAACCTGCAAAAAATAATTCAAGCTTCATAAACTTTTGATATATAAAATAAAAGTTTATGAGTGATTTATGTTGACCAAGTGAATAGTAAATGTATCTTACAATTTGGGACTGAGGGAGTATTATATTTTCGGAGATAGTTAAAAAGTTACGAAGTAACTCCCAAGAGGACATTAGGCCTGTTCTTAGTTGATTTCATATATATTTGAAGTTAAATTTGACCCTATATACTACGCTCAAGCTAAAGAGATACCAAGTAACTAGTGCTCTCTCATCCCGCTAAAATTGTTCCAGACACTATTCATTTGGTCAATACAAA